TGCAAAAACACAAGGCAGAACTGAGATAAGGGGCAGAGGTGGCTGCAGCTGTGTCCCTGCAGAGGAGGCTCCTGCAGGCAGGGACCTTACCTAGCACTTTTGTGCCTAAATGGTCCCCAGCACTCAGAGTCTGCCAGGCTCCCCAAGGTGGAACCTTGAGTCCCCTTTGGGGACTCATGGGATTGGCACTTGGGAGTCCATTCTGGAGAAATAAAGGGGTCCTCAGTGGGAGTGAAGGGGAGAGGGGGAGGGAGGAGAAACCACAATGTGAAAACAATGACTCAAGTCCTGTTGTTTTCACCAGGTGACAAGCTAAAAGGTGACACTGGAACATTTATGTGGGTGGAGGAATTAAAAAAAAAACAGAACATTAAGGAGAGGTTTGGGGGCCAGGCTGACCATTCGTGTGGGAGGCTTTGAGCGTTAGGCCTTTAGCTGAGCGGCCAGGCTGATGCTAGGACAGCCCCTTCCTTCCTGGTCGTGGGGGCCCAGAAAGCAGTACCCTAAGACTGGTGCGGTGCCATGCTGAGAGGCCTTAGAAACTGCCTCAGGACCAAGACCTCACTGACCTTGTCCTGTCTCCTGGCGCCCCAAGGGCAGGGAGGAGAGGCTGTACCTGGAATTCCCTAACATGACTGAGTAAAAGTTCTGTCCCAAAGAAAGGCAGTTGTGTGAAGGACACAACTACAAGTCAGACTTTACCTTACAGATGCAAGCAGTGTAACCTAATTATATGTAGCCTGGCACTCATCTGGAAAAAAAGAAACACAACTGTCTTAACATCCCCCTCCCTAGTCGAACGACCAGGAAAGATCAGCTTTGGAGAAGAGAAGGCCCTGGAGTAGTCGCCACCCCCAGGCATGCCCAGGTGGACTTTAAGTCTTCCCGGCCCTGGCTCCGGCCTGTAATCCCAGCACTCTGGGAGGCCCATGTGGGTGGATTGCTTGCACTCAGGAGTTCCAGACCAGCTTGAGCAAGAATGAGATCTGTCTCTACTAAAAATAGAAAAACCAGCCAGGCGTGGTGGCAAGGGCCTGTAGTCCCAAGTACTCAGGAGGCTGAGGCAGGAGGATCACTTGAGCTCGAGAGTTTAAGGTTGCTGTGAGTTATGATGCCATGTCACTGTACCCAGGGCACCAGAGTCAGACTCTGTCTCAAAAAACAAACAAAAAAATCCCCCCAAATCTCCACTCCCCCCCCCCCAAAAACCCTCTATTCTTCCGTTATCTGAGGGACTTGATCTACAAAATCAACTTTTGTTCCTGGGCAGCTCTGAGGACACTCACTTTCCTACTTGCCTCCCACCACCGGGTCCACTCATCTCTCCCCTATGAAAAGAGCGTTTAAACTCAACCACCTGGCCCCTCTTTGAGTTCATATTTTGTATGAATCCTGTGCACATGTGTACATTTTTTTTTTTTTGAGAGACAGAGCCTCAAGCTGTCTCCCCGGGTAGAGTGCCGTGGCATCACAGCTCACAGCAACCTCCAACTCCTGGGCTCAAGCGAGTCTCCTGCCTCAGCCTCCCAAGTAGCTGGGACCACAGGTGCCCGCCACAATGCCCAGCTATTTTTTGGTTGCAGCCATCATTGTTGCTAGGTGGGCCCGGGCTGGATTCGAACCCATCACCTTAGGTGTACGTGGCTGGCGCCTTAGCCACTTGAGCCACAGGCACCGAGCCCACGTGTGTACACGTGACAGGAATACATGTGTTATGCTTTTCTCTTGTTAACCTGCTTTGGGTCACAGGGGTATTGGCCATGACCCTCTGTGGTACAGAGGAAAGGGATCACCCCTTTTTTGATCCTACACAGACCTTGCTTCCCCCTTTCTTCAAGATGCATCCTAGGGTAGGGGTGAGTGTAGGGACTGAGCCTCAAAAGAAAGCACCCATTCTTTCTTCCGAAGTCAGCCACGAGGGGGGAACGTTAGGGCAGAAGTATGTGGCTGGAGGGATGGGATGGGTAAAATTAAGAAATATGTCTGCGGCTGAGGATTTTCTTACATTCCAGGGTGAGGGTAGGGGCTTCCCTGGCCTGCCCTGGTGTCTTCCCTGGAGGCACACACTGCCAGGCACTGGGGGAAGTTCCTCTGGAAGGCACTCTAAGCCAGTAGGGTCAATGGCCTGGGAGGAAAGGGGAGTCATTCTCTGGGGAGGCGTTGGGATGTAGAGGTGAGCTAAGAGTCACGTTTGCTGCCACCTGGTCACAATATATTCTCACCAACATTTGGCCACACTCTTTCCTTGGAGTGGCATCAATGGGAATTAGCCATGGCTGGAAAGCATTAGTTGCCAAATCATTCTAAGATGTACTGCAAAACCACCTTTCTACCCCACCTTCTGCCTTTGGTATGTTAGGATTCTGTAACTCTGACACACAGTGTGTCCCACATGTGTTTGTGAGCTCAGACACAGAGCATGTGCGTGCTGGCACACACACACACACACACA